TGCGCGAGCTCTTCGTGGCGTGGTAAAATCAGTCCCTGCTGCGGGGGCGATTTAGGTAGCCTATAGGGCATCTCTATACGGTGCGTTTCATCCCCAGGCGCTTTACAAACAGGTAAGATCCATAAGTGACGGCCATTACAGCGGGCCAAAAAGCCTGGAGGAGGTTGTTGATGGGCGGCTACGCCAAGCGCAAAAGCACAGCTCCGTATGGAGCAACCTAGCCTAGATAATAGCAATTGCTTCATCATAAATAGCAACATACGTAACTTCAGCCTAAGACATGATTAATGCGATACAGTCACAGAATGATTTTCACTTTGCCCCTCTTTCGGAGAGCTCTCACCGACGTGTGGCAGGGCCCGGTACAACCGTGCAATTGAAAACAAGAGGCTCAGACCGGCAGAAGAACGTGCTAAGGTCACAGCGCGGCTGATCTGCAGGGACGGGGATGGAGTCCAAAACCGCAGCTCCCAACGCGTGTGACTGCTCCTCATGACACACGTAAGTCAAATATGCCCAGTAGAAACACCAGGGAAAACTACACAGTAGAACGTAATTTATTACATGAAAATTTGTCCCAGCAGAGGATTTAAGAAGCCTGTTCTCCAAGGGGAAAAAAAAGATAGCTGGAGACACCTAAGTACCGTTTGCAGTCTGTGGGTACCGCACGGCCCCCTTGGAGAGGGATGCCCAGTCACTGTGTACAACGTTAGCGGTCGGCCGAGGCCCCGAATGTCACCCAGCGCTGCGAACCCCCCAGGACGGATGAGTTCCCAGGCACCCTGTGAAGAAGGGCACGGTATCCAGGCTTGATGGCGATTTCAGTGGGAAGGGGGACGCTTCCTGAGTCACCACAGGTGCTTGCTTTTAACGCCCAGGATATCTGCAAAGCTCTTCCCAACAGGCAACTCAAAACAAAAGCCAAACGTTTACACTTCGGATCTCTCGCTCTCCAAAATATTGTCTATGTGCCTTTTTCTTGACTGACACAGTTACTGCCCTGAATTCTCTTCTGATAAAAGTGAACGTCTTACGCAATTGAATTTTTAATATCCAGATAACATTTTAGAAACGACTACGGCAAACTGAAATGTAACAACAAAATGTTCATCAAGCCCAAACACACAAGGCACCAGCAAACCGTTAAGTCTGGTACCATACAGCCAGCTGTCATGCTGTATTCCCAACGCAGAATACCGGCCGCACTTACCACAGCACTCCCCCTAGAGAACGCAGGAAAATGAGCCCGGGGTCTAGAAGCGTGGAACTGCCCCGTCCACCGCCTTGTCTGCATGAGGTTTCCTAAGAATAAATAAAATGCTTACATTATTTACAGTTCTCAGGACACACAGCTATACTAGCAGATAATTCTCTTCCAAGGACTAAGCTCAGCAATTTGCATCAGACACCTCAGGATTTTTAAAAGGAGAAAATCAAATCAATGTGAATGCAGTGCAGATATAATCCGATTGAAAAATGAGAACCACAAACAGATCTAAAGGATGCAAAATGTACTTCAAAATAGAAAGAACAGTATCGAGGTCAAAATGGCATTTCCAGATGTGTGTTGCGTAACAACAAAGTCTTTTGACAACGTCTCACTTCGTAATCGTAAGAAATGCCGGCAGCCGGGCCAGGCCCTGCTGGCACAGAAGGTAACTTTTAAATAAAAGTCATTTACACTCGCAGAATGCTGCCTGAACACAGCGGTGCCTCTCTCTATTTGTAACCGCTTTTTTTATACTACGATGACCTGAAATTATTTTTGTTAGATTGCAGATCTGGTATCACCCAAAGGCAAATGAACAACTTGTAGTTTCTCATCTTATGTCACTCTTCAACCACCCAAAACTTTCATTTTTCATTTGGAGTTCTATAGTTACAACTTTTGCTTTAAAACGTGATTTTAAATATAAGCAGGTAGGTCACGTATGTGTGCATGATCCGCAGACGTGTAAGCCAACGGATGGCAGAGACGCAGCCGGGCCCGTTACCTACGTAACACCGGGGTGGGCAGGGTGGCTCTACGCTCCTACGGACTGTGCCTTCACCCTCCTGCCGAGTTTCCCCAAGAAGCCTCCCGAGAAGGCAAGGGGCTGACGGCACACCCAGTAGCGGGCTACACCTGAGTGAGGACGCGGCGACTCGGTGTCGAGACATCACGGTTCGGAAGGCGCCAAGTGCCTTCCTTGAGAGACCTGCCGGCTCGCCGGCCCGGGCCGGTGCGAGGCACGGTGCGCCTGCCCAGGGACAGGCCCCGGGTGGGGTCC